CCTAGTTTTTTGTGCTGTTGCTTCCTAGTTTTCTCCTAGTTTTTTATAATGTACTGCTGGAGAGCCTGTATATGCTCAATGCCACCTTATTAGTTTGTTAGCTTAATAAGAGTAAATGTGAAATATTTATAAATATTTTTACATTTATATTTCTTTCAGTAACATTAAAGTTTTCCTTTCACATTATGTTTTTGTAGTGAGCGAGTTTCAGTTTAATCTGTTAGCATTAAATAAGTTATTTGTGAGATGGCTGACAGTCTCATTGAAGTGAATGGTTTTCTTGCTTATTATTTTAGTTTTCTTTAACCAATAATCAGTATGATGTACAACAAGCCATAGCTAAGTAACAAATTAGTTGACTTTCACAGATGAGTATGTGTTATTGCATAAAAACATTAGAATGAAACTTTTGCATAAAATTTGGTATCTAATATTTTGTAACTTTTATTTAAAGTGTTTATTCACTCACAAGTTTTATTAGTAACATATCTATTAGATTTAAAAGCTATACAAGATCAAAATCTTTAATAAATTAGGACATTGATGAATATTACTTTTGTTAGAATAATAAATGTTTTCACTATTTTTTCATTTTACATGCAAAGGTATTGCATATATTAATATGGAATTAATACTGCTTAATTATAGACATAAAAATCCTATTCATCTAAGGATAAACATTTGTTATTGTTAATGATTTAATAAATTGTTTTTGTAAATTAAAAGTAGATTATCATATTCTAATGAAATACCTGTATAGTATGTTTATTTTTTATCAACAGATTAAGAAATACAAATGGGCAATTAAAATTAAAAAGGTTGTGCTTTCTGATAATGGAAAATATGAATGCATTGTTTCAAACATACATGGAGAGGTCAACCAGACATTTGAAGTTGAAGCCCAAGGTAGTATTTATTAGTTTCAGTTTTAATAATTTTCAGTTGAATTAAAAGAGAATACATTGTTAGAAATTCACTATGAAACTTTGGGAATGTCTTGTATACATGCTTCTACATGTGTTTTATTTTTACCCTTAACAAATTAGGTTAACTTTAATGAAAGCAGCTATATTCTTTAGAATGTTCTTTAAACAAGATAGTATATGCAGACAAAGAAAGTTTTTATTTTTATGTCTACTTAACTTATAATAAACTAGAACCTTTTTTGTTGTCTTTTCTCAATTTCATAATAAGCAACATTCATTTTTCAACTACTGATCATAAGTGAAAAAAAAAATCTTTGTAGGTCTAAAACTCAGAATTTTAAAAATATAAACAGGAGAAACAATTTAATCTTTTTTTCTTGACTTTTATAGAAATAGTACGCTCACGACCCATTTTTAGTGAAAATGTCAACGTTAATCAAACTGTGACAAGTGGAGAAAATGTCAGTTATAACTGTAAATTTATTAGTGATCTTTCATCATATAACGCTTGGATTCAACGATATTCATTCAGTGAAACTTGTCAAGAAGCTCATAAGGCAGATAATTTTAAGACCTTAAAGGTGAGACTTGTGTGTGATTTGTAAAATTGAACTTTATTTTAAATTCAGTTTTATTGTATTTTAATTGTCATGTTTTTAATGTCGTAATGCTATCGTATTGGTCTTGTTTATAAGTATTTTATGACTATATAGTTTTTTATATTTAATGAATGTGTGACATGATACTGAGATATGCTTACATATCATGTGTTTTTCAACATCGTTATTAATATAAGAATTTAAAAAAAATTCAGTTAGTATGTTTCTATGCAGTTTTGGCATAGACACGTGGTCCAGAAAACCATTGAAATTTTTGTTATAATTGCCTTTTTGTCTGTTCTATATAGACTATAGCTGACAGTATCTACTCTACCTGTAGAAATTTTGAAGCAACTTTGCACCTTAGTGTAGATAGGCTCAATAACAGTGGATGATGTCTTTATGTTACAACTGACAAATGCTGTGACAGAATGGCCAGCCATGTGGTCAAACTATCACAAAGATACAAGGTTTCTTGCAAGATCAAAACCTTTATACATTCAGAGTTGTACTTGCATATGAAAACTCACATGCTGTTCTTTTTTCTTTTGCTTTGTTTGTAATAAACATTGTTGCATTTAACATTGCACATGTTTAGTCTTTTTATTTCTTACATAAGTTAAAACTCAGCAGAGTTTTCAGGTTCAGGTTATTCTGTAAATTTTCTGTATAGTTTTCATGTTATCAATCAGACCTATCTGATACATATGTGGGAATCAGTTTATTTGAGAATAATCATAATGCAACACAATTGATGCTATTTTTTGGGGGGAAAATGTTTAATATTAGCTGCCCACATGCTAATAAGATTTGCTATTCCGTTTATATATTCTGTTGTTTAGATATCTTTTAGAGCAATTTATTTAGTTTAAGTACAGAAAGAGAATAGCTCATTCTTTATAGGAAGTGCTTTGTTGTTTTCTTTAGCTAAACAATCCAGTCAAGAAATATCACTGTGCTGCTGTAGTTATGATAAAGTTTTTACCAACCTGAATAACTGTCATTAGTGAAAATGTGTATTAACAATCTTACCATAAAGGTAAGTTCAGTAGTGGCAGCTCATCAGACAAGGCTGGTCCTATGCCCTACATGAGAGTTTCAAAAGAAATAAAAAAAAATTAATGAATATGTTTTTTATATTAGTTATTGTCTTACAGGTTCTGTCAGGTTTTTTTTTTTGTATGTATGTATGGGTTGGGATTCTTTACAGTAGGTGTCTGTGACTTGTTGGTAATAAATTTGAACAATAAATGGACAGCATATGGTCCACTTGTTTTAAAATAATATATTCTAAACAATTCAAATGTATATACAAAAATTCTTTACATTATTGCTTGTCACAGTTGTATCCAGAACTTTAAATAATTTTCTTTTACACCAAAAGTCCACACAGGCTGGTTAAATTACTTTAGAACCCAGTTGACAAGAAGAATTATTATTCTCTACTCTTTTTCTTACAATACAATCTATGATTATAACACTTTAAAAGTCACCACTCTTTATGGCTAAACTTACAAACACAGTCCAGATCTATATCTCTCACTAACTTTGTATTGCTTTCACTAATTTAACTTTTGTCAGTTACCACAGTTGTATCCAGAGTATTAAATAATTCCCTTTTTCCTTGTCAAAAGTCCACACTGGCTGATTCAGTTACTTTAGAACTTAACTTACAAGACAAATTATTTTTTCTCTGTGTTGTTACAATACAGCTGTGAAACTCACTTTAGAAATTGCCTGTTAAGATTAGGTCTGTCTAATTATTTCTCTCACTTGCTTTCATACTTGCACTCTGCACCTGCATGTATTTATAACAAGAGGCAGAAAAATATAGAAATATCTAGCCCTCAGAAAACTTGTACATCTAATAGATTCAGTATCATAATTTAAAATTATTGGGTTAGGGATTTTAGAAAAATGTTTTGAATAAGTGGAGGAGAGGCCACCTACATCAGTCCTCTATGAGTAAACCCTATCTATAGTATAAAATATATCTGTGCTGACTAAGCAACTTGATCAAGGAACCCAATTCTATTGTCCATCTACAGGAAGGCTGGTTTCCAGTGTATTTGGGTATTTTCAGTTTGAAACGGATTTCTCGACAAAACTTTCTGCAATAATGGCATAGTTCTCCAGGAAAATTGAGATTTCTTTTCACTGAAGTATTTAGACTATAAGTTTGTTTCTTATATATAAGAGTTATCCTGTTAGAGTTATCAACTTTTTGTGTTATCCTGTATTACTGATTCCCAACAGTTGGTATTAGAGTAAAGAAAATGCCAGATAAAATATACAGGGGTACTAACAAAACTTCAGATATGCATGAATTTATGTCGTAGAGTTTATGCAAATACAAGTTGTAAACTGTATAGTATTTTTATTTTTCACATGAACATCACCTTGCACTTCGACTCATCAGAATCTGAGTTAGACTGACTTCGACACTTTACAGACAAAGATTTAGCACAAAACCTTTAGTAACACCTCTGACTTTTTGTGTACAACAGACTTGTATTGTTGAATAAAAGCTTTTCATGTTTCATGATGGTACACTTTATAAATTCGAAATTATAGTCCACATTACTTCTTTGTGAACATTAGTTTAAATGAATGAGCAAAATCTATATTCAAACAGTAGAAAAAGGGAGCAATCTCATAATGTGTATCCACTAACAATGGAAAGTTCTCATTCCTGGCTAGTAAGCATTCTTGGTCTTGAATTCATCTTTCTCTTCGAATTGAATACTCCAATACCAAACATGAGCACCAGAAAAAAGGTCTTTGCTGTATACAAACTAGAAGTAAACTGGACACCACCTTGCTTTCTTTGTCCAGTAGACAGCATCATCTCATAACCTCTGTTCCCTGACTGCATTGGTCCGCTATTAAATTTAGTTGATATCATGTTTCTGCCAGCAAAAGATATAGTTCTAACTGGTTTACCTGATTCAAAATACAGACTGAATTATCCTTGAGGGCAGAAGACGTCATCTAACAAAAGAGTAGAATAAGGTAACGTTAAACACCTTGGACCATGTGCTCCCACCGTAGCAATGTGCATTTACTTAATTATTTCAAAATGTATGTGTACAAAATTTATGTTGTTTCAACATGGTATGCCCACTGAGCACATGTACACAATAGCCAAGTCCTTGTACGTGCATTTTGATTTCTAGAGTAATGATGTGTAATGTGTAAAATAGTTGTAATACTGCTTGTTAATCTATGATAATACGATTTAAGAGGTGGGAAAAATATTACTATCTTTACCTCCTCAGTTTCTGAAATTCATGCTATGGTAATTAAATAAACAGTAATGAAGTATAAGTATCCTGCTGCCCATAAATCGTTAACTGATCATGAAACCTGTGAAGGCATAATCAGTTGTCTTTTTTTGTTATTTTTTACTAAAATGTGAAGCTATTACAGATGGGCATAAATGCAAGATGTAGAATGGAACCTTTATAAGCATATAAACATTTGATAGATGTTTGAAAATACAAAAAAGGGACTACTGTATGTAGACTGATGTCTTAGAAAAGTATAAAAGTACTTATATTAAATATATTTTCATGAAATTAAAGGAAGACCTTGTAATATGTAAGTTAAAGTTTTATTTATTTTTCATTAAAACACATTTCTTTCCATTTTATCATTCTTTAAAAAATTACTCACAATCTGATTATATAATCAACAGTTTAGAAAAACGATATTTCTTTATTGTGTTATACCATATACCTTTAAGCTTTCACATACTATCCAGAAAAATTGGTTAAAAACAACTAAAGGATAGATACAACATGGATCTGGATTTAAAAATTTCCTTCCTACCAGAAAGGCACTAGGTCAAATTGTATTGCATATATTTATTCTAAGGGCACTACAGGATCCTTGTTTCAAATTTAGGGTTACCAGACATCCTACTTTAATTGGGATCAATTCGGTTTTTAGCATTATCTTTTTGTCCTGATCACAAACAATAAAGGTGTTCAGTTTCCCAGTACTTCATTGTGAGTTCAAATATAGTTTGTCATTACATACAACTCTTTTAAATTTTACTTGGAAAATCACCTGACAATGACAAATTATACCATACAATGTTTCTTCCCTATGTGATATGTTTTCTTAACATTACCTATCATTCCGCAGCCACAGGAATTGACATTTAACTTAAGGACCTGCCCATCTACCAAAAAACAACCCAGGAAGTCCAGTAATCCAAATCAAATTACATCTAAAAGACTGTAGTAACTCTTACATCAAAGAAAACTGTCGACAAGTGTCTAAAGCCTGAAAAAATAAAAGAAACATTCAAAAACTCCTTTGTGTTTGAGCACATGGTTCAAAAATAAACATTTGTTTTTTTGGATGTTAAAACCATTGACAAAGAAAATAATATAAACAGAAGAAAAATCAAATATGTTCATGTTTCTTTTATTATAAAACAGAAACCTATCATTAACCAGAATTCTGGTCTAAAACTATATATATTTTAATATTTCCCTATTTAAAAATTGTGTTAGACTTCCTTTTATTCTGTTGTTTAGCAATGTAGTGTTAATACAGCAACATGTAAGATTCTGTTCCATTATTCAAGTATATCCACCTGGCAATGCAATGTAAACTTAGTGAAATCTGGTATTTTTTAAAAATAAGATAAGTTTTTTTAAATGTAAAACTTGTTTTATTCATAAATTAATCTTTTATTAAAAATATGTTTATTTGATTAAGACAAATTTATTAGTAAGATAATGCAAAGAAACTGACTTTCTGAAGAATAGAGGCCAGGGATTACCTTCTGCAATGTTTTGTTACATGACAGATTAGAAGTAATATCAAGCATTTATTTTATTTTGTGTACATGGTTTTATAAGTTACAAAAACAACGTTCTTAAGAAATTTCAAAATGTTTTTACTTTAATAAGTTCTGATAGTTAATGATGTAAGTTTTCTTTACGCAGTACATTTACAATCATTATGCATTTTTCATTTTCTTTTGTTAATGGAATTGTGTTATTAATTATGATGAATTATTGCAGTTTAAAATGGTATGCTGCATAAAATCAACTACAGAAACTTTAGAAAGAATGAAACAAGTGCAAATTGTTGTGGTTTTTCATCACAAGAGTAGCAATTTGAGCATCTTGATATATATAGTGCATATCAAGTACATAACTGGATAACCTGATGTCAGTAAATAATTTTTAAATTAGATATTAATGACAAACTGTTTTAAAGAGGTTTGAAATTGGAAAATGAACATTACATGGGAAATTGGTTAATACGTAATGTCAAAGATGAAGCAAAATACCCTGATCAGTACTTAAACTTAAGTCTGGCTAAGAAAATCACATACTGGGGCTCTACCAGCTGAGGCATCAATGATAATGCTTCTTGCTCACTATACTTGAACATTATATGTATAAAATCTCTCTTATTCAAATACTTTGTAATCTTTTAGCCAAAAACACAAACAACACTAGTTGGCAGTTTGAAAATACAACTATACACAAGTCATCAAGCAGAATTTAAGCTGGCAACATATACTGTAGGCATACAACATTAGCTCAAAATTTGCATGAATCATGAAACACAGTTCTTTTGATTGATTGCTTTCCGATCTCTGGTAGCTGTCAGAGGTATGATAATTTTTAAATAGGTATTATCATTATTTTCTTTATAATTAGAATTGATAAAATTAGATTGCTGTAATACTAAAAATTTTCCTAATTTGTGTAAGAGAAAATATTTTGATTTGTTGCTTAACACTTATGCTGTTGAGTATGTTTTATAACTTGAGATTCTACTTGTGTTTCACAAGTATATCATTGTTTTCTTTTAATATTTACAGAAATATGACACAAAACTAGATCTTATAAATGTGACTGCTGCTGATGCAGGGCCTTACACGTGTTTTGTTGAAAACCAGATTGGTTGGGTGTGTAAAGACTTTTGGTTAAAAGTAATATCAAGTAAGTGTTTTTTCAAGTAATTCCATTAATATGGCTGATCTTTTCAAGCAGTTATAATACATAGATAGCTACCTAATTTTTTTTTTTACAAACTGCTTTTATGTTAAAGCTACAGTACTTATTTTATAATTAAATCATGTTGATAAACTCCATTCGGGAAACATGTTATGGATTTTCCTTACTACAGTCATGTTATGTTATTGCAAAAATTGGTTAATTAGAATTTAATAATAAACTCACATTTAAGACTTATATTTGATCTAAAATAAACAGTCTACAGATTTAGAAGAAATTTGTGGATTTTTGTCATTGTAAATAACACTTTTAATACATTAACAGGTGAATGAACAAGAATTTAATTAAAATGAATAGTAGCTGATTTTGTAGTGTATTTCTTGACTTTTTTTATTTATTTTTTATCATCACCTGAAGAGCCTTCCAAAAATGTATCACCAGTGTGGATTGTTGTTCCAGTTTTAGTAACGGTTGTGTTAGTGACAGTTGCTGGAATGCTGTTTCTGTATTTTAGACATAAACACAAGAAGCTGGAAAAAGAAAAAAAGAAACTGACAAGGAAAAAAATTATTCTTGAAAGAATTGTAAGAAAATATATAATTTTCTATATGATTTACATCAATTCCCACTGAAAAAAATTGCATGAAATTGCATACATGTATATATATTAAAATTCTGTTTGAAAGTTAAGATATCATATGACAGTCTCGAACTTTTGTATTTTTTACTAAATTGATCAACATAACTTGGAGTTTATGAATCCCAAGCCATTAGATTTTATACATGCAGTTCTCTGTCAATTAGCCTTTAGTTTTGATACTTACAGTTCTATACATAGAGCTGACTATGATGTCTTTAGATTTTATACACAGAAGTGACTATGATGTCTTTAGATTTTACATATAGAGCTGTCTACCATCTCTTTTGATTTTATACATAGAGCTTATTACCTTCTTTTTAGATTTTATGCATAGAGCTTATCATATCTTTAGATTTTATACATAGAGATACTACCATGTTTTTGGATTGTGTAAACAGAGTTTATTAATGTATGCCTTTAAATTTTATACATAGAGCTGACTATGTTGCCTTTAGATTTTATGCATAGAGCTCACTACCATGAATTTAAATAATGGTGATAACCAATTGTATTTTGTACTTACAGCTGACTATCAAGTCTATATATGTCATACATACATTTGTTACAATCTATTTAGAGTTTGTACATGCAATTTATTACCATTGTCTTTAGATTTAGTACATGCAATTCATTACCATGTGCTGAGATATATACATGTGAATATCTAACGGTTAGTTTTCATACACAAACTCAATTGTTCTTATGTTTTGCTATATGGAAGTTGCCTAAATATATACTTTTATATTATAAGGAATTATGTCACCTATAAATTCTTATAACTTCAGTTTTTGTTTATACAGTTGCTGTAAAATATTTTCCTATTTGCAGCTGAACAATTATTGAATTAATTTCATTTGTTTACACCTTAGCTTGAAATTTTAATCTAATTGAAAGCTATTCAATTAATCTCTCTCAGGATTCTGAAAATTCTCATAACTCCTTGACACCTTTAATAAAGATTGATGTCCCGAGCAATTACAGCATTACATCACAGTTGCCTTCTATTGATGAATATGACATTCCTGTGGATCCTAAGTGGGAGTTTCCTCGGAAAAAGTTGGTTGTACTCCATTGTTTTAACCTCATTCTCTGTTTTACTCTGTCAAATTTAACCTCATAATTAAGAGGCTTGTTTCCATATGTGACAACTGGGCTCATCTATAGTTGCTCTATAGAAAGTAACTTTGGTCGGAGCATTTTTTAAAAAGCTGATAACGGAAAGTTGTAGAAGGTGAAACTAATGAAATGCAGTTGTCTAAGTAAAAAAATTTAAGAGACAAATTAAATAATGATATTTAGGTCTTTTTCTTTCTTAAAACATAAATTATCATAGCATGGGTATATAGGTATCCAAAAGCTTATATTTTAAGAAAAAGAAGGAAAAATGAACTTTTAAGTCCTTTTGCTTTGAGTAATGGGCTTATTTTTAGAACAAATTGAAGGTCTTGTTTTAATACATACCTGCATCAGTAAATTTATCTTGTTTTTATATTGTCTAGATATCAAACTTTTATAATTGTGTTAACTAA